AGTTAGTTAGTTAGTAGTTAGTTAGTTAGTAGTTAGTTAGTTAGTAGTTAGTTAGTTAGTTAGTTAGTTAGTTAGTTAGTTAGTAGTTAGTAGTAGTTAGTTAGTAGTAGTTAGTTAGTAGTTAGTTAGTTAGTTAGTTAGTTAGTTCGTTAGGTTAGTTAGTTAGTTAGTTAGTTAGTTAGTTAGTTAGTTAGTTAGTTAGTTAGTTAGTTAGTTAGTTAGTTAGTTAGTTAGTTAGTTAGTAGTTAGTTAGTTAGTTAGTTAGTTAGTTAGTTAGTTAGTTAGTTAGTTAGTTAGTTAGTTAGTTAGTTAGTTAGTTAGTTAGTAGTTAGTTAGTTAGTTAGTTAGTAGTTAGTTAGTTAGTTAGTTAGTTAGTTAGTTAGTTAGTAGTTAGTTAGTTAGTTAGTTAGTTAGTTAGTTAGTTAGTTAGTTAGTTAGTTAGTTAGTTAGTTAGTTAGTTAGTAGTTAGTTAGTTAGTTAGTTAGTTAGTTAGTTAGTAGTTAGTTAGTAGTAGTTAGTTAGTTAGTTAGTAGTTAGTTAGTTAGTTAGTTAGTTAGTTAGTTAGTTAGTTAGTTAGTTAGTTAGTTAGTTAGTTAGTTAGTTAGTTAGTTAGTAGTTAGTTAGTTAGTTAGTTAGTTAGTTAGTTAGTTAGTTAGTTAGTTAGTTAGTTAGTTAGTTAGTTAGTTAGTTAGTTAGTTAGTAGTTAGTTAGTTAGTTAGTTAGTTAGTTAGTAGTTAGTTAGTTAGTTAGTTAGTTAGTTAGTTAGTTAGTAGTTAGTTAGTTAGTTAGTTAGTTAGTTAGTTAGTAGTTAGTTAGTTAGTTAGTTAGTTAGTTAGTTAGTTAGTTAGTTAGTTAGTTAGTTAGTTAGTTAGTTAGTTAGTTAGTTAGTTAGTTAGTTAGTTAGTTAGTTAGTTAGTTAGTTAGTTAGTTAGTTAGTTAGTTAGTTAGTTAGTTTAGTTAGTTAGTTAGTTAGTTAGTTAGTTAGTTAGTTAGTTAGTTAGTTAGTTAGTTAGTTAGTTAGTTAGTTAGTTAGTTAGTTAGTTAGTTAGTTAGTTAGTTAGTTAGTAGTTAGTTAGTTAGTTAGTTAGTTAGTTAGTTAGTTAGTTAGTTAGTTAGTTAGTTAGTTAGTTAGTTAGTTAGTTAGTTAGTTAGTTAGTAGTTAGTTAGTTAGTAGTTAGTTAGTTAGTTAGTTAGTTAGTTAGTTAGTTAGTTAGTTAGTTAGTTAGTTAGTTAGTTAGTTAGTTAGTTAGTTAGTTAGTTAGTTAGTTAGTTAGTTAGTTAGTTAGTTAGTTAGTTAGTTAGTTAGTTAGTTAGTTAGTTAGTTAGTTAGTTAGTTAGTTAGTTAGTTAGTTAGTTAGTTAGTTAGTTAGTTAGTTAGTTAGTTAGTTAGTTAGTTAGTTAGTTAGTTAGTTAGTTAGTTAGTAGTTAGTTAGTTAGTTAGTTAGTTAGTTAGTTAGTTAGTTAGTTAGTTAGTTAGTTAGTTAGTTAGTTAGTTAGTTAGTTAGTTAGTTAGTTAGTTAGTTAGTTAGTTAGTTAGTTAGTTAGTTAGTTAGTTAGTTAGTTAGTTAGTTAGTTAGTTAGTTAGTTAGTTAGTTGTTAATTTCCAATTACAATTACTTGCAATGGTTCATTTGCAAAAGTCAATTACAATTAAAGGTAATTATAAATGGTTAAATTCAAATACAAGTATGTAATTGTAATTGGTAAAATTTAATAACAAGTACACTTACAAATGGGTCAAAACGGAGTCTCCTCGACTCTACTTGACTGTTCGCGCGAAGTGAACTACCACGTCAACACTTACAGATAATTGTAATCGGTTATTGCTCAATTACATATTACAAGTAATTGTAAATGGACATGTAATATAGGTCCACCTATTCCGAAATCTAATTAATTTTTAAACTACCCTCGTAGGTATTTCATTTTTATCGTAAACCAATCCAACAATGTTAGTTCGGTTTGGTTGAATGGTTGAGTTTAAAGCAGCATTAAAATGCCGGAGAATAGAAGAGAAAACCACCAACAACCATAAGTATAAACATCAAAAAAAAAAAAAAAAGCATAAATAACGAAAGATATAAAGAAAAACATGAACAAATGAAAGACAATATTAAATAAATAAATATGTACGATAGTAGTAAAAACCAACAAGAACAAAATCGATGAAGGGTAACGATAACCTATCATATTAAGAGGGGAAAAAACTAACTTCAATTTTGCTCTTTTTATGGCTATAGTTGTTGTAATAAATAAAAATGAAAATAAAACAATATTATGAAATATTGGTAGTTTGATGGCACCTTTTTAACCAAATAACGAAATGAAGAGAGAGAGATAAAAAAACAAAATGGATAAAGATACACAATTTTGCAAATTGAATGAAATATTACTGGGGGTTTATGTTTACAAACATTTTCATTTTGAAATAAAACGTTTAGAGCTAAACAGTAATACTTTAATAAACCTTTTTTCGCATACTTATCCTTTTTTTTGCTTAAGTAATTTTATTTTAAGTTTTATCTTCTCTAAGGCTTATTGATACCTAAAAAAATACGCAAATATTTTTCATAAATTTCACATTTATTTTGTGGAAAAGACATTTTCTTATTACTATATTAAAATATTCGCCGGATTCTATTTTATAAGATTTGTATTCTACGAAATATTAATGGCATTGAATATTTTTTCCTTGCGAACAATACTACATTTTTAGCGAACAAAACATTAAGTGAAAGCAATAAATTTCAGAAAAAAATAAATCATAATAAATAAGAAAAAATTTGTAATCTCAAGGTTTGTTATGTGGCACGTTGACTTTGACATAAGCCATTGATTTTAGATAAATGAATGCAATTTTGGGTATATCTAAAGAATTAATTTTATTGTCATTTACTTAAGAATATTTAATAAAAAATCGACTATAGACTAGACTATGGACTAGACTATAGACTAGTCTATAGACTAGACTATAGACTAGACTATAGACTAGACTATACTAGACTATATACTAGACTATAGACTAGACTATATACTAGACTATATACTAGACTATAGACTAGACTATAGACTAGACTATAGACTAGGCTATAGACTAGACTATAGACTAGACTATAGACTAGACTATAGACTAGACTATAGACTAGACTATAGACTAGACTATAGACTAGACTATAGACTAGACTATAGACTAGACTATAGACTATATAGAGTAGACTATAGACTAGACTATAGACTAGACTATAGACTAGACTATAGACTAGACTATAGACTAGACTATAGACTAGACTATAGACTAGACTATAGACTAGACTATAGACTAGACTATAGACTAGACTATAGACTAGACTATAGACTAGACTATAGACTAGACTATAGACTAGACTATAGACTAGACTATTGACTAGACTATAGACTAGACTATATACTAGACTATAGACTAGACTATAGACTAGACTATAGACTAGACTATAGACTAGACTATAGACTAGACTATAGACTAAACTATAGACTAGACTATAGACTAGACTATAGACTAGACTATAGACTAGACTATAGACTAGACTATAGACTAGACTATAGACTAGACTATAGACTAGACTATAGACTAGACTAGACTATAGACTAGACTAGACTAGACTATAGACTAGACAGGACTATAGACTAGACTAGACTAGACTATAGACTAGACTAATAGACTGGACTATAGACTAGACTATAGACTAGACTATAGACTAGACTATAGACTAGACTATAGACTAGCCTATAGACTAGCCTATAGACTAGACTATAGACTAGACTATAGACTAGACTATAGACTGACTATAACTAGACTATAGACTAGACTATAGACCTAGACTATAGACTTAGACTATAGACTAGACTATAGACTAGACTATAGACTAGACTATAGACTAGACTATAGACTAGACTATAGACTAGACTAGACTAGACTAACTAGACTATAGACTAGACTATAGACTAGACTATAGACTAGACTATAGACTAGACTATAGACTAGACTATAGACTAGACTATAGACTAGACTATAGACTAGACTATAGACTAGACTATAGACTAGACTATAGACTAGACTATAGACTAGACTATAGACTAGACTATAGACTAGACTATAGACTAGACTATAGACTAGACTATAGACTAGACTATAGACTAGACTATAGACTAGACTATAGACTAGACTATAGACTAGACTAGACTAGACTATAGACTAGACTAGACTAGACTATAGACTAGACTATAGACTAGATCAAACGATATCAGAGGGCTTCAAAAAAATTTCCTATCTGGATCTGAATGCCATAAAATGTTTCATTAAAATTTCCTAATAATTTACTTTACTCTTAACTGCCATGAATGATGTTTTGAATTTAATTAATTTTTTATTACTCCTCAAGTAAGATAATGAAATTCTAAACCTATAATTACATTGAAGATTAAAAGTAACTACCACAAGAGTGTATTGTCTTTGTTTTTCCTATAAAATAGCTCCCCATAAATATAATTTCAAGCATCTAACTGAAGAGTTGTATACAAATTCCTCTGAAGTTTGTTTACATACTACATAGCAAAAGTAAATATAATTTAATTTGGAAAAAAAAAAATTTGAAAAATTTTTTCTTTGCTAGTTTGCATTTTGCATAAATTTTTTTAAAGGTATTTCAAATGAAATATTTACACAAAATATAAATAAAAACATTGTGAAACATTTTGCAGAGCATAAAATGTAATAAAATAAAAGTAAAACAAAAATATGCTGTTAAAAATGTAATAAAATTGTACGACTATTAAAAGAACTGAATCTGAAAAATATTACAGAAAAAGCAAATAATAGCTTGAAGTTTAACAGTGCGTAAAAATAACAATTTATGACCTTCTATGTGGAAAAAAACAACAACAACAAATAAGGAACATAAAATAAACAATTTAACATAGAAATAAAAACACAAAATATGCAAAATAGTTATTGTTGAACTTACCTTTTTTTGTGGATTTGGTATGTTTTTTTGTTACCCCCCTTTTGAGTTTTTGTAAGAGCCAGCACAACACATGTGATGATGCTGCTTTTGTTACTTAATGCTGTTGGCTAATTGTTCACAAATAGTTCCCAACCGAAAAACTTTAAAAGTTTAAACAGCATATAAACAGGTATTAGCATCAAGACTACAAAAACATAATACAACCAACTTTCTGTGATAGTGTCCGTCATAACTGTAATCAGAATTAGAAGGGAAAAAAGGTTAAAATTTATAAGTTAGATATTAAGCTATCTAGTATCATTTTGTTGTTTATTTAATTTATTTATGTTTTTTACTATAATATTTGGATATTTTACCAAATTATAATAATAAAACTCAAATAAAGCTTATCAACTAATAAATACTTATAAGGCTTTACAACTTTAATCCCTTTAGTAACATTAATATAACAGCAACTAAAAATTATTAAATCTACTGTTGTTAAGCCTTCATAAATTAAGTTCAAATTGCTCTACAACATTTTTAGTGTATTGGTGCTTTTTCTATACATATGAGGAGAAGAAAAAAAAAAAAACATTCATGAGAAATCTCATTTGTAATTGAACAAAACTTTTTAGGGTGTTAGTTAGTGTGTAGGAGTATGTGTGTGTGTGTATGTATGTATATATGTTAAATTGCCTAAATGTGAAAGCAATTAGTGAAAACCTTTTTATACTAATTGTTCCATTCCCAAAGGCCCCATCTGTTCTGCCAGCAACTACACATGTAAGTAAGTAAGTGAACACTAATGAAAAGTGTGGAAGGACTCTATAAATACTATTCTTACACACTTGTACATTTGTATACATACATAAAAAATACACCAACAATTCTCATACATTCACGTACATAAACGCAGAAATGTATTTAAAAATGGAGGAAAAGAATCATGTCGTTCTCAGCTGCATTGGTGTAAGTGAAAATGTAAGTACATTCGTATGTATAGAGGTACGTCTCTACCTCTCTCCAACCATGTTTATACGATGGTTGTATAGAAAGGTCAAAGATAGTTTTTCAATTACTTATGGAACACATCTGATTCATGCGAATGCGCCGCTCTTGGCATATTCTGTAAGTCCAACTATCGCTGTCATTGTTGATGGTTTCTGGTTCTGTCTTATAAATGCCTCGGACGATATGAACCACAATCAGCATCGACACCCTATAAGCGCATTTCCGAGGAGCAACAAGCTGTCGACCTCAAAGATTGTAAAGTTTATATCCTTCAATTCAATGTGATCAAGGCTAGTATATTCTGTAAGTGTAACTTTCAAAGTCTTTCTGGATGGTTTCTATTTCCAGTTTCCGGATGTCTGTGTCTACGTTCACTTTAAGGGTGTGAATCGTTTCTGAATTATTTCAATCTTTCATTTTCACGTGATCGTGGCTGGTAAGTATAACATTCACAGTCTCTCTTGGTGGTTTCAATTTCTATCTTACGGATAAATGTAGTCCCACATTCATATTAAGATTGCCGATTGTTTCGGGATTAATCGCATTGAATCGGCAGTCTACAAGAAATAGTTTAAGAGGGTCCAAGCGCAGAGAGAACCAATTGATAAATCTTACACTATTAACAAACTTAGTAAATTGTGAGCTATTTGCCATACTGCATTATCCACATAAGGCCCAAGATTATCCATGTCCATATATTATATTTCAGTTACTACTACAGACATTGTAGAGCTCATAGAAACCTCTACGAAATTTACACCCTATGTTTTATCTTTACGAAGACGTCAGCATCTCGGGATTTATCGATACCTAATCACAGAAATTTGGTTGCTAACAAATCCACCGATATGCAAATGCATATATTCGCATAAGCTCATTCCCGATTGGAGCTTTTATAAGGTTCAATTGACTTCCCAAATAGAGGCAAATCATCCAGCCTTGAATTAGTAAGTCAACTGGACCTTGTAATGGAATAAACCGAAAGCAACCTTCCCATTATGGTAATAATGGGAATATTCAATTCCCAATATTCCGAATAGTTAAGATCGATGGAAAGTAGATAATCTTATTAATTAAGTTTCGTACTTTCAGTCACAGCATCTTCAAAATTGGGAATTGAAGATTGGATCTAGAAGTCCTAGAACTTCAAGACTTGAAGTTCAACTACTTTATTCCAACAAATATGTGTACATACAAAAACGACTCTGATATCTAAAGGCATTTAGAACTTAAGAATATATTAACAAAATCAAAACTTTCAAATCCACCCTCGTTTGAAACAAAATCTTCATTTGTATGAAAGTGATTTTGTTGGGGCGAGAGAAAAAAAAAAAAAAATACATACAAATCCAAATGAATGAAGGTACAACATAAGTGAATGTTGGTAGGTGCTAAATACTGCTTACTGCCTGCCCTGTTTTACAACAATCACACATACATACATAGATGTATTAGAACTTTTACAAATTGTCCATGTGGGTTGTCGTTCATATTTGTTTGCCATTTGCTAGCTCAACTTTTACAAGCCTGTAATCATCAGCGCCTACTTAGTTTGTTAGAGTTTTTGGAAATAAGTCAGACCGGCTATGTGCTACTATGTACAACAACTGACAAATGTACAAACATTTCAATGTGTTTGTCGGTTTCCTTAGTTTACAAACATTACAAAAGTATGACCAAAGTTGCAAGGGACGGGGTTCAGAATAAGTCAACAGAAAATTATAACGGCCGGAAAAAAGTGTAAGTGTTGCTGCTGCAGAGAAGTAAAATAACAAAAAAAAAAAACAGAAAACAATGAATTTTCCACTTAGTCAGTCGGAAGAAATTCTTAATTAGGACTCACAAATAATTGCAGTGATAACCGCATCTGTGGCCTTTATATTCATTCATTCATTTCAACCAATTATATAGTATCCGTAACACTATATCTGTATCTTTAGCAGTTATACAACTTGTAGTTAAAGTTTACTACTATCTGCAAGTATATTTTTTATGTTTTTAATGTACATATTTTAATTTAATTACCTTTTTAAAACTTTATTTGTTGGAAAAAATAAAAGTTTTTTTTTTGTTTTATTATACGATATAAGATGAGCAACTTTTTTATTTTTATTGATTAAAATACATAATGCATACATGCATATGTATATGGGAAATACTTATGTATGAGTTTTACGTTTTTATGTTAAAACTTTTAATATTATTTAATATTTTATAACATTAATACTGATATATTAAAGTTTAAATATAAAAATTCACAAAGAGGATTATGGAGTTAAATTTAAAAAAAAGTTCATACTTGTTATTGAAAAGTATTTAACTCCAACAATTTAAAATTTTCTTGTTATTTGTCACTCACAACGATCAACTTTAAAAGGTAAAATATACGTCACAATTCGGATTTCATACATTACACCCATATGTCCATTTCCATAAATATTCCAATAAATTTATAGCCCACAAACGATTACAAGCATATTAATTTTAATTCATTTTAATTAACTTCTAAGAAACAATTAAAAATTATTATTTTTATATATCATCATTTATATGATTATATAATTTTAATTAAATAAACTAAAGAGTTCATTATTGAGTTGTTTTGTTGTAAAGATTTATTCTTACATCTGTATTTTATTTGTCTTTAAATATTCTATTTAATTTCTATTTAAATTGTCAAATATTTAATGACAAACAATTTAAAAGTTATTAAAATCTGCATGGAACTATATACATATAAGTGTTTAAAGATTACTTATAATCTCTGGTTAAATTTACATTAAAATTTAAATTCTATTTGAAATTGTAAAACCCCAACAATAACAACAACAACAAATATAAGCAATAACCACAACGACAACAAAAAATAATGTTCAAATAATGCATGAACAAATGGACGAATATGCATCGTTAAATGTATGAAATTTGACCACTACAAAAGCATTAAATAAAATATTTTTGTAAAATATACAGAATCGTATAAACAGGCGGTCGAGAAAGTGTTAAGACAAAAAATTAATTTGAAATATTTTTTAATGAAACTATAGCTCAACTTATAGTCTCCACTATAAATCAATCTTTAGTCTAGAATACAGATAAATCTATAGTCTATACTATAGACCAATCAACAGTCTACACTTAAACATAGTCCGGACCATAGAACAATTTAGACTGTAGACCAATCTATAGTCTAGATTATAGACCAATCTATAGTCTGGACTATAGACCACTCTATACTCTGAACTATAGACCAATCTATAGTCTAGACTATAGACTAATATATAGTCCCGACCATAGACTAATCTAGAGTTTAGACAATAGACCAATCTATAGTCTAGACTATAGACCAATCTATAGTCTGGAATATAGACCAATCTATAGTCTGGAATATAGACCAGTCTATAGTCTAGACTATAGACCAATCTATAGTCTGCACTATAGACCAATCTATAGTATCCACTATAGACCAATCTATAGTCTAGACTTTAGACCAATCTATAGACTATAGACCATCTACAGTCTGCACTACAGACCAATCTTAAGTCTGCACCTTTAAACCAATCTATAGTCCGAACTTAAGACCAATCTATAGTCTGCACTATAGACCAATCTATAGTCTACACTATAGACCAATCTAAAGTCTGAACTACAGACCAACTTATAGTCTGCACTATAGACCGATCTATAGTCTGCATTATAGACTAATTTATAGTCTGCACTATAGACCGATCTGTAGTCTGCACTATAGACCAATCTATAGTCTGCACTATAGACCAATCTATAGTCTGCACCATAGACCAATCTATAGTCTGCACTATAGACCAATCTATAGTCTGGACTATAGACCAATCTATAGTCTAGGCTATAGACCAATCTATAGTGTAGACTATAAACTAATCTATTGCCTGGACTATAGACCAAACTATAGTCTTGACTATAGAAGAATCTATAATCTTTACTATAGACCAATCTATAGTCTGGACTATAGACCAATCTATAGTCTGGACTATAGACCAATCTATAGTCTGGACTATAGACCAATCTATAGTCTGGACTATAGACCAATCTATATTCTGGACTATAGACCAATCTATATTCTGGACTATAGACCAATCTATATTCTGGACTATAGACCAATCTATATTCTGGACTATAGACCAATCTATAGTCTGGACTATAGACCAATCTATAGTCTGGACTATAAACCAATCTATAGTCAGGACTATAGACCAATCTA